CATACCTTAAAGAAATCTGAAAGACACATCGTTACCCTGAAAAGCAAGGGCAGAGAGTGCAGCAGCAACTGCATGTCCCTGCAACCCTTTTTAGGTTGCTTAGAGGAGCCATGGAGACATGCTTTCACAGCCAAGGAAACTGTATGTGATGCTTCAGTTGTATCACCCCATTTTGAGGTCTAAGTCTTCAAGGTTTGTTCAGAGATGTGAGCCTACTTGTATGTATAGTCTTATATTGTCATGTCCCAGTGTGCTTTTTGGGTCATCCAGTTCTTCTTGTCATTTGTCATCACCCTTGTTAAGCTTTTGTTTTGGTTTTTTTTTTGCGCAGGATGCTGTTGCATCACTTGGTAAGCATGGTCACCTGACGAGAAGTACATCAGGCTTGTGGGATCACTGTGAATCCTCTTCTTTTCCTTTGGCTTGCCAACTGCTTAGACTTTAAGCACTGAATTGGCATGTTAGCAATGTATCTCGGATATGTGCTACTTTTTATTACCGAGTGAATTGGAGAAAACATTTTTGGAGGTGTCCGAGATACGTAATAACTGTTTTAAGGCTGAAGGAGCCAGGAACCCAACCGTCTGAACCCTTTTTCACATTCGCTGGCCCTAGCATTGTCTCTTACCTCAGCTGTGTTCTATTTTTCAAACAGCTGAAAAATTTTTCAGCTGTCTAAGCTGATCTTGTAGCTAGGCGCAGCTTCAGGGCTTGCATCTACTTGCTGGATCCCATGGCCTCACATGTCTGTGTGATGTTGTACAGCATATTACAGCCCCTATGTACTGGGGGCCAACTAAGGTTCAGTAGGATCTGTGTAGCCACTTGTCCGCTCTGGAGTGATGGAAGGACTTGATAAATACAGTAAGGAAGCTCCCCTTTGTGCTTTGTAGACTGTTCAGAGTGACAGCAGTGGGAGTTTTATTACTGGGAAGGTGGGCATACGTGCAAGCTTAAAACAAACATCAACACTGAGAGAGGAAAATACCCTTGAGCTCAGAGAGACCATGAGGACTGTAAGTCGTGCTGACAGTGCATTTCAGGGAAAACAACTTAAAATCTCTCAAGTCACTGTCTTGCAAGTCAGCTCAGTGAAATCTGTATGTAGTCAGTTGCTCAAAGGTGAAAGAATTTCTTTACAGTAATTGGGTAACTTAAAATACGCTTTACACAAGCTCAATTTGTGCTTCATTAGAGTCCTGATTTACATGACAGAGGGGACACTGAGGCATAGGAAGCGTGTTCTTCTATTTACCCTTTTCGTACAGTATGAGAGAGGTCAGCATCTTGGTACTGCTGGCCAAAGCCTCCAAATTCAAAAGCAGAAATCTTGTTCATCCCGGAGTAGGCATATACACAGATGACTTGCAATTACAATAAGGTGGTAAGTAGAATTTATTTTCAGGCTGGAGCCATGTTACTATTCAATTTGAATCATAATCATTGTTAGCTAACTGTTCTTGGCACGTTTTAGGCTGGTGCAGGTTCTGTCCTTCAAATTAGTTTCCAGAATACTTGACAGATAAAACAAGATGCCCTCTTAAATCTCCCTTCCTGTGAGCCAGTAACACTGCATTGTACACAGAAGTACTTGTTTAGGCTACTGACAATTGAAGACAGCTATGAGCTGAAATAATGAAACAAAAGAGGGCATGAACAAAATTATGACAATTATTTAAATTGTCTTTTAGGTATCCCCAACTAAATTTCATCAAGAGTATCGTGTAGTGTAAAAAACCTCTTATCTTACCCCTGGTCCAAAGGCTGGATTTTTTTTCAAGACAGAGATGGTGCTTGCCTCAAACCACTTCCAAGGTAGAATGGAATAGTTGACACCTTAATCTTGAAGACGTTTCTATGTCTATCTTGCCATCAGGCAGGAAACACCTGAGATCCATCAGGACTCAGGTCTGTGAGACTGCCAAGGTCTTGCAATTGGATCCAGCACAAGTGATGAGCTGGTAGGTTCTTGAGGTGATGTTTATTGTGGCTCCCAGATGCCTATTTGACATCAACGGCCATCATCTCTGAGAACTCTTTTATGTATTTTGGAGAACTCTAGCTCAAAATCAAGCAAATTAAACTCAGTACAAACCAAGAAGTTAATAACATCCTATTTTAAGTTATTTTTCAGCTTCCTCACACTCCAAATTGGGATATCCTTAGACCATTATGTGATGAAGGCAACATTTCATGTTCTGCTTCATACATAAATATGAATCTCAAGTCTTGAAGAATCTGGAAGGGAACGGAACAAACCAGCCTGAAAAGAACTAGCAGGGAAGGAATAATTATTTATCATCATAGAAACTATAGGGCTGGGAAACTACCTCATCTGAGTTTATCTCCACATCTGTGTAGCTTTTAATTTATAATAATATAATTCTTCCTGTTGGCTCTGAGGTGTTCTGGGTTTTTTTCCCTATTACATATGTCCTTAAATGCATAATGATTATCTGGTGGAGGAAGAGTAATTTTACCTAATTTAAAGGAGTGAATGAAGGCTTTTACAAGTTGTAAGCTGTTTGGGACCTTTTAGCTAACTGTGAATGACTTTCTCCAAAGAGTCAAACTGCTCTAAAATCCAGCTTCTGAGCTCTGGCAGTTGAGGTGTGTGTCTACCTGCCCACCCCACTCCTTTCTCTCCTGTTTTAATAGATCAGATTAGCAGAACCAGGTTAGGGAGCATCTACATGCACAATGTAAGCCAGCGGAAGAGGCTGAGGGGTTGGACAGGGACTTGCGAGCAGTCCAAGCAGTAACATCTTTTGCTGGATTAGGGTAACACAAAGAAACATCCATCTATGTCTGCGTAGTTTCACTCTGCACAAAATGCTAAGTATTACGGAGGCCCATAGGGTGGCGGAGATGAAGGGTTTGCTTTTGCGTATGATGTTCCTGTTCATGGAGGACAGTTGAGAAACAGGCTTTTGGGAAAAGTACACTATACATATCTTCCACTGTCTACACCTGCACTTTCACACCTGCAACATGCCGTCTCTGGGATCATGTCCTCCTTCCTTTTTTCGGATAGTAAATCTCATCATAAACATTTTCTCTTTCATACTGTTAAACTGAGCGTTGTGGCTAAGTGCAGCTGGTAGCCTATCTGTTACAAATGCAGTCATAGTTCCATTATATCCATAGCTGGAGATATTTGGGGTTATCCAATAGACTGTACTAGAATTCAGATCTTGTCTTTTCACAGGCAAGAAAACTTGTACTTTTGAAAGCCCGGACAGGACCCACACTTGACCAGCCAGGACAGGAAAGGCAGTGTTACCTTGTGAGCATGTTGTGAACTGCTGCAGTCAGACACGAGTGTGTAATTCAGCACTTGCACAGCATCTGGGAAGGGAGAGGCATTACTTCCAGCCCTCTGGATAAGTTGCTTGCTGGCTTACACACCCTGCAATAAAACCAAGATGCTTTCCCTGCCCGTCTTTGGTCCACTGCTGCATTACGCAGCAAGCAACTCACTTGTGTCCACCCTGATACTGCTGAATGACAAGTTTAACAAGATTTATCCTCCCCATGTATCTTGTCTAAAGCTATTGCCTCTAATCCAGCTACCAAGAAGATTATGGTTTACGTACTGGAAAACCACAGGCTCTATGCTTTTGTGGGCCTTGCCCAGGACTTGAGCATATGTCAACTTGACAAAAGTGAAAGAAATTATTCTCAGGGGGGGAGTGTGTAAAACTATTTACTGCTGCCTTCTGATTTGTTCCATATCTCTTGCAGCTTGAATGAGAACTCATGGTCCAGCTTTCCAAGTCCACAAAATTACTTTACCTTACGCTTGTGAATTACCCAGCTTTGTTTCTTTTCCTCAGTTTCTTTTTTTCCACAGGTTTCTAAGATGATTTATTCGAAATATGTTAAATAACCTGTAAAGAACTTTTCTTAAATGTGTTTTCAGCGTCTTATGATGAAAAAAACCAACTTGAAGTGCTGATCCTCAAACTGAGAATAGAGTGTCTTCATCGTTTTGCTACACTATCACTCAGGAGTATGAAAGATGTCAGTAACAGAGAGGGTTTGGATTCTACAAATCTTTCTCTATCAAGAAGAGGCTTTAATTAAAAAAAAGGAGATGAGAAGTGTGTTTTTTTCCTTTTAAGATGCTGGAGCTCTTCAGCATTTTACAGGTTAATATACAGCCTCATGCTTCAAATATTAAGGTGAAATCTGCCCATTAATGACCTGCAATGAATATTTCATTTTCTTTCCATATATGGAAACAGAATAAAAAATTAAATGTAATGCAAATGAACTGCCATGAAGAATAGTGTTTATTAATATGACCTGGAAAATGTATCACATGCCACCTGCCACCATTTAGACCACTTTAGATATTTTACACAGCTTTAGTAAAATCATAACAGGACCTTTACAGTTACTCTTTCAACCAACATAGAAACAGTTACACATTTTATTGGAGCAGTAAAAAATGCTCATCTTTGAACTTGCTCTCAATAATATGAGATACGTGAAATCGTATGTCCACAGACATACCTCTTCCTACCCCTTCCCACTTTAAAATCAGAGTTTACAAAGCAGGTATGTTTTCTGACAGTGAAGATGTTGGTCGGTCTGATTGCAGGGTGTACGCTGGCGGAAACATCTGCATTTGCAGATCCCGCTCTTCCGCAAGAGTCCAATGATTTAGCATGTTGCAGGGAAAACCTGCCTCAAATGTAGTCAATGCAGTCCTCCCATAGTTTTCAAGGGTGCCAGCACCAAGGATTGCCTTGGTTTTAACAGCAATACTGTAAGAACTCTTTTGAAAAGGCATATCTTTTCATTTTGGAGAACGTAATGAGAATTGAAGGCAAGCTGTATGATTACTTCTGTAACTTTTGGTTGGAAAGGCATTACTTCAAAAAAAAAATCCCCCATTAATAGTTCTCAAGAATATCCTTTTCTCTTTTTTAATATACCTACTACAAATTGATTAGAATCTCTAAAATAAAAATTTAAGTGAAGTCTTTTATGTTCTTCAGCATGGACAGGCTGAAAACTAACAAAGCACAGAGCAGTATCATCAAAACCCAGTCACCACTGGAGACGAGTCTGCTATGATGCATCAAGCTGTACAAGTAAAGGGGTCACTGTCAGTATGGATTGCATTTAGGGATTTTGGGTATCAGTTCAGGAACTTTGGCTCAAACACAACTTTTAACTCTGTTAGTCAAAGTTTCATTAATTCCTATACGCTCTAGTCTCTGCTGTTCCCAAAACTGTATGTTCAGTGAATGAGAGCTCAGGCTGAAAAAGAAGAATTCATAGTTGAGTTTTTGCTCATATCCTAATAAAAACTGGGTATTTTGAAGAAAGTGACCATGGGTATCCTGTATCAGTTGTATAAATTGTACTATTTAAGTGTTGCATGTAAGCACTACAATCCCAACTGGGTTTGTGACTTAGTAAAACACATTTAGAACCTTATTTTGGATTAGGCCTTGACTCAGATTTTCTTCATCCTAAAATACAGATAGTTAATGTCTAACTAATTGAGTTGCCTGCAAGAAGACGACAAACATCTGTTGTTGTTTTTCAAACTTGCAGCAGATGCAGAAAGATGAGTTGGTATGTTGGTGCAAAATTGCTCTTGTGTAACTGAAGAAAATTGCTTATATGTAACCAGAAAGTACTGAAGTGATACGATATATGAACATCTAAATATGAAATACCTTCTTCATTTAGTAAAAAAGTCCAGAGAAAATGTGATATCAGTGAAACTTGTCTTAAATGACCAATAAAAATATGCTGCTTAAATTAAGTATCTTATCAGACTTATTTCTAAGAGAAAATAAGCATGACTCTACTAATTATGCTTAGGGATAAATACTAGGCTTAAGACAGAGCGAGCTTCCTCAACCTTTTTTCTGTTGTTTAAGCTTAATTATATTGGGGGGGGGGTTGATGGTACCTATGTTGTGTGCTGATGAGTGTCTTCTAATCAGTCTTTTTAGTTTTCCTGTAGTGAAGGATTGTGGCTGTGACCCAAATATTGAGAATAAGCATGGTTATGAAACGGATGAGAACTAAAAGGGAAAAAAAAAATCTTGTAAGCATAAATCCAAAAGAATCAACTGCTGTCATTTTCAGAATACACATTGTTTTGTAAACCTCCACTGGTGTAAAAATAGGCTGGTTCCCATTCTGCAACTCTTTTAAATCAATTAGTTTAAATTGCCATGTTCAGGAACCCAGAAATTCTCAAAGTAAATGTAGCAGAGAAGAGCATTTAGCACTTGTGAGTGGTATCTGAAAATAATACACTACAGTTCCTTTAATTCCTTTGTGACAAAACCAGGAGAATAGTACAAGTTTGAGTAGCCTCATATAAATTTATATTTACACCTAAAATTAAACTCAGGAGCCGCAGCTCATGTGCCCTTTATAGTTGCATGTGTTGTTTATAATAAAAGGATTATTCTCTACTGCCATCTGTTAAGTTTAGACTTTAGGGAGACAGGAAATACTTGTATCTGTCAGATTTTAATGAGAGGAAATCTGACAACTGAGAAAAAAGCAGTTTTTCAGTATCTTGATTAACTTTCAGATTTTTTTTAAACCAAAATAAGCATAGTATCTCTACCTGTGAGACCACAATTTGAAGTATAGCTATATCTAATATCCATTTGGTAAATAGAATATACACAGAAATGTACACAAAATTTTGTTTCAGAAATGTGCAATACTTGACAGTTTCATACATGCCTCTGAAACCAAGATGAACATGCCAAAGTGTTCAGTGTTAGAAGTTAACTGGAAACCTTTTCCATTAGAACAGCACGGTATCGATGTTTGCTGCCATCTCTTCCACGTTCCAAAGTGTATTGTGCTTTATTTTAAAAAGCAGCTTTAATCAGAGCCAGCTTTAATCAGAGCCAGCTTTACTTTCATGGTGTTTTTCTCCCTTCCTCCCTCCCCTCAATATACTTCTCCTGCTTCTACTCAGGCTAAGTGTGTAGCTGTGGGTGAACTGGACTTGATAACTGACCTGGACTAAATTTCTGCATGTGCCGATTTTTTGGTGATCCAGATAACTGCATGTCCCCAAAACTCTTACTCCGGCAAAGAGAAACCAGCAAGCATGGGGGTGAGAATATTGATTGAAAAGGGGACTTCCTTTGCCAGTGAAAGAGCAACTTGAACTGCTTGTAAAATTAGAGCCTTATTGTGCTGCAGAGGACTGCTTAAAAATAAATAAATCATTCATGTGATGTTTCTGATGAAATACCAGTTTTGAACAAGGATCCACCAAATAAAGTACAGTGTGATTTTGTAACTGTTCTTACATCTACCAAGTCCTGATTTCGAACCATTTATTGAAAAATCTGCTGCACTCCTTAGTTCTTTCAGTTTTGTCAGGATGGTAAGAAGCTGTTAAGTAAATTTGCTTTGTAATGAAATCAGCTGCAAATTATATATTTTAAGCCAGTTTTTTGTGAGTTTCTTACCAGCGCACCATTTCATTTTCAGCCTGCCATAACCTTTCTGAATGTTGTGACCAAAACTATTCATATACTAAGCTGAACTTTAAATAGTTTTCTGGAAGAACTTTTTAATGCACAAACCCCACAGTAAGAAAAGGAAACACTTATTATTTGAAAAACTATCAATTATTACAGATTTTTAAAGTTGTATTCTACTAAATTTATTTATGTATTTAAATATTAAAGATTTTTAATGCTTTATTCTGCTATTTTCATAATTAATTTTGTAGTGCTTTTGCCTTTTGAGAAAGATAATGGCTTTTGGACCACTTGTCACCACATGATAAGTGTAAGCAGGTTTTGTTGTTTTCTCTGGGTATTTGACTGACTTGTAACCCTGTGCTACTTTTTTAGCACTAACTAACTCCTTCCCTCACTGTGCTAACCCAGCAGGTTCATGGTTTGTTCTTCTGAGAGCAGGTAACTGCTTTTACAAAACAGCTAAAAACTACCATGGCAGCTGTTATCTTGGAAAGGCAGGCAATTCCATACTTTACTCACCTGCGAGATCATTCGTAGTCATTACAGTTGTAACTATTCTTGCTGTAAATTGAATGAATTCTGATTAGTGGACTAGATACGACACATTTATACCTTCAAAAAATGATGAAATGTCTATCTTTTAATAGAGGATAATCTTGCATGAAAATATACATCTTACAGACATTCCCACTTTCAGTGCATCCACTCTTCACTATTTTAGCTTCAGAGATCAAGCTCTCAAAGCTGAGTGACACTGTATTAAGGGTCTTTTTTAATGAGAAAATCACTGATAAAATTAGAATTTTTGTATCTATCTCACTAGATTGGATGTCGTCAGAGTTTAATGCTTCTTTTTCTGTTCAGCCCCCTCCTTCAGTAGTTGAAACTGAGCCTCACCCACAATCGAGTTAGCATGACTTAACCATTGTGAATGTTCACACGCATGCTTTTAGGCTTCTGCAAATATGAGGAATTCAGCTTTCCTTCCCACAACAAATCTAAATGTTAATTATTTCACATTTGCAGCAGACTAAAACCATTTACAAAGTTATTGCTATTGTTCAGTGAACATACCACAACTTCTAATTATTGACTTAAAAACATTTGTTTCACAGGGAAATTGATCCAGCATCACTATGTTTTACAGTAAGAATATTTTAAGCAAGTTTTGTGAGTGTGACAAAGCCACTTCTGACAAATAGCTGTAGAACCGTTCATGCAGACCGCTAGGTAATCAACACATGAACTGCACAAATCACTGTTCTTGGTACGTTCTTAAATTCTCCTCTGTTGAGAAATTTATTTACATGTAGTCATGGAGTTAAAGGTATTCAGCATTAAGCGTGTATTTATTTGCAGATGACTTTTCAGAATTAGCATTGTCTGATTGTCTGACTCAAAATTTAGTGCCTTTTCATGCTGGATCACTAGTAATTTTATTAAATCATAGAACATTGAAATCTTTTCTTAGTAAAGACACTCTTTCAGTTATTTCAACTCTATCAGGCTCCCTTGACCCTATTTGCATGTTTTGTAAGTCAAAGTCTCATTGTGACTGAGCTGGTGTCAATGATAAAAGTTGATTTCAAAAGACTCTGTGGTATCTGAGTCTCAGAAGTCGGCACTAAGGGAAACTACATTAGGCAAGATTTTTACCTACTATGATTGAGTAAAGACCTACTGAAAGAGGCATTAGGAGGAGATACGGCTTTAAAAAAGGAAAACTCAGTGCTTCACACCAGGTTGCCCATAGCTTACTTGCACAGGTATATGCAGACATACTCCAGGTCAAGGCGCTCACTTGTCCAGAATCTTTTGTCTGCCAGAGGCACCGCAGCTGAGCCAGCTTACTGGCTGCACTGATGAGTGTGCACAAATTCTGAAAAGCAGGTAAAAAAAGAGAAAGAACCTCTGCCATTGTATTATCCGAGTGTTTAGCTTATGGCTGTTAGTATGTAACTTACTAAAACCAGGACTAGCTTTTGCATTTAGAATAAAAAAAAAAAAATGTACTTTTTCCGTATTTGGCAACCCAAGCATTTCAGTTTCTTACTAAGGAACCGCGAAGCAAAAAAATCAAGTCGCCAGAAGCAAGGGAGTGATTTCTGAGGTGCTGCCCAGAAAGAAGCTCAAAGAGCACAACAGTTGCTGCTGCTGTTGGCAAATATTTGATAGAGGCAAATACAGTAAGAAGCAAAGAAATAAAAAAGCCTCTCAACCTGCTATATAAAACTGTTTATGAAAGTTAGCTAAAATGAGACTGATCTAGTCTAAACAGCAAGGTTGATTCAGACCATCTGTTACTGTTATGTCTGGCAAACTAAACCATAAAAGAATGAGAAAACTGACAAGAATGTGTGGAAAATGAGTCCAATTGGTGGGAAAAAATAATGAAGGGAGCAGACTATTTGCTCTCTGTCATCCTTTAAGGGGGATTTTTCAAAGGCAGTGGGTAGAGGGGTTCTCCACATGGGTCTTTGTGGTGTGCCTGGATTTCCCTTGCAAGTAAGGATCGGCAGCAGGCTTAGAAGCTTTTATCCCTATTTGTATCATCTTTTGCACTAGCAGCTCCAGTTCATCTCAAAATTTAACTTTCTCTCTTTGACAAAAAGGGCAAAGACCATCTTTAACCTACATAGGGCATTATCAGATGATGTTTTTCTTGCAAAATTCTAGGACTAAAGGGAAAAAAAATTGTCAAAGACTTAACATTCCCTATTTCAAATGCTTTGACTGATGCTCTGTTCTTTTCCTCTCATGTTAAGGGTTTATTAATCAGGATTATGACATTAGGACTAAAGAGGCAATATTTTTTCAACATCTTAAACCGTTGCTAGTTAATTAAGGCACCACAATTAACAGCTTTACCTCAGAACATAACTCTTTTTTTTTTCTCCATAGAGTCTCTATTGCCAGTGCCATGTTTTCCAGCTACTCACAGAAGTGAGAACCAGTTCTATTTGAAAACTGGTTAGTTGTTCTGAAAGCTAACCTAAATGATGAATTATTCCAAGGACAAATATAAGGAGAGATTTCCCTGATAAAGACTTCCAGAAAAAAGTCATTTCATATGAAGACCTAATTTCAAATAATCATGCAGTACTTACCATGGCCAGGTCTATTATCCACTTCCGCAGTGTTAGCATGTACCAGCCCCCCCCCAGTCTTATATTATGTTAAGTTTCATAGCACTGAAAATTCTAGCATACCAAAGCTCTCAAAACTGCCTGGGGAATTAGATTTTTTTTTAAAACATCTGGAAATAATCTTATTGAAACTTTATAACAGACTATACAATCTAGATAAAATATATTAAGCACTGGTTGAAACACTAAGTGTTCCTATTTTTCACACTGTCTTTGGTTGAACAGTGCCTGGAGTTTCTCAATAGCTGCTCCAAAGCACATGACTTGAGATTTAAGCCCAAATCCTATTTAAAAAAAAAACCAAAACAATACACTGCTGTGTTCATCATGGCAAGTACAATCTGCATGGGTAGGAATCAAAGAAAAAAGACTCATCATTTCCACCCTGCATCTCTAGCAAAGATGTAAGTTAAGAATTGCTCTTACTCCTTACCAGTTGTGGGCCTTCTAAAGCATAGCTACATATAAAGCTTACTTCTTGGATAGATTTCACTGTGATCCCAGAAATCAGCCTGTGAAATGTGGAATGCATGTTGAGAAGTGGCTGAAAATGATTTACAATGGTAGCACAAAACAAACGATGACATAGCTGCTATGCAGAGAACTACCAAACAAGCTACATAAACCAAAATTCCCAGATTTCAAAGGATACATGACTGCATAAAACAAAGCTCGTTTCATGTTTCCACTGAAACGCAGAATAAACAAAAGGAGAATGACATCTGAAATAAATAAAAGATCGCTCATGACAGAAGGGAGAGAGGGGGCCCAAATGTAATCCTAGACAGTACCACTGGACACCACGTCTGCAGAAACTGCTTTATTACAGGTTTTATCTCTCAAATTTGACTCATGTCCAAAACACTGCAAGCTCCAAAATGAAGCTTTTCGTAAAGAGTCTGGAGCATTTATAGTGTTTCTCCCCGAGCTGGAGTCACTGGATAAAGGATGAGCTTACACTGCAACTCCACCGTATGTGTATTAATTAGATCTTTCTCCTCTACCTGACCATCTATTTTCATAAAATTTGTAATAATTCAATTATATTTGAGATGTTCATTCCCTCTTCCCGCCAACTCCAGCTAGAATTGGTCAATGGATTCACATCACTGCAGTGGAGTACTGTACCTATCTGCAGAGCCTTGGAGTGCTGAGTGAGCCCTGCTTTATTTCCAAAACATGGCTGAAAAAAATTACCTTGTGCAATGATGATGGGATATTCCAGGTATGTCTGCAGAGGGTAACCATAATAGATCTGGTACCTCAGGAACACAAGGAAGCTGAACAGAAACACACAAAACAGCATGACTGCATGAAGGGACAGGACAGCTCCTTCACAACTTCTTTTTCCTGCTTTGGTTGTGCCGAAAGGCTCCAGATAGGTGTAGCTGTCAAACTGATCAAACAAATATGAAGAAAAAGTGCAAGCATGATGATTCTGTAGTCTATTTTTGTTACCCTCAAATAGAGCAAGAGGTAGAAAGCTGCCCATGCTTCTTGTCAAGGTCTTTGTGTCACAGTGTGTAAGGCATAATTTTATTAATTACAACTGATGAGAAAGAAATAAAGGCTTCCAGACCTAGAAGATACCTTCTCCTTGCAATTGCCTTCGCACCTCTGGGATAACTCTGATTTCTTTATTTATGTCTGTAGTCCAATCTATACATTAAGCAAGTTTTACAGGAGTAGAAAACATCTTCCAAGCTGTCTAGACTATGCTGTTACAAGATTGCCCAGTGTAGCTGTACTGGTCAGACTGAGAGCCTGTTCTGAAGTGTACCAAACAACAGCAATTCTCTTTCCTGCCATCCCACAATATAGTATCTAAAAGGAATTGAACTTTTATCACTTTTTCTTTACTTTCTTCAACTTTCATGCAAGTCCATGGGGTTAGACAAAAACTTCAAGGCTGCAGAGAAAATAGAAAGGTCTCTTAGGGCATAGTTTTTATGTAAGGAAAAATTTATGGTTTCTGGCATAGAAAGATGGCTTAAGGAACCGCCTGCCTTGTAAGGAACTGCCTTTTACTGTATTCAGAATTTAAATGTCTGAACTTCCTATAAGTCTTATTTCTTGTAGAGTCAAATTAGACTCCTTGCCATCAGCACCGTGCTTCTGCATCACTCCTCTGCCAGGTCACTGCATGCTGGCTCTGCAGAGCCATCCCAGTTTGCACCAGTAGCCCCAAAGCTCTCTGCAGCTGGACTCAAAGTCTTTAAAGGCTGCAGGATAAATAGTCCTACTAAATAAACAGTCCCAATAAACATTTCAAAAAAGACTCAATGCAACTCTTCCAAAACAGTTTTGCCCTGAGCAGGTGCAGAACCTGCAGCGGTGTGGGTACTGTGGTTATCACGCAGGTGCTGAGAAGGCATTTATGGCTTCTCCATGCTCATCTCAAACATTACTTACGAAGCCTTTTCAGTGCACACCAACACCCATGAATGATTTTAAAATGCTACCACTGCTTTTTGGCTGGGGCTGTGGGTAAGTTACCTCTGCTGGCACTAGAATTTAGCTCACTCTAAGGTGTATTAAGGGTAAACAGCAACAACAGGGGTTCAGCGCCTCGGGGAAACATGGGCAGCGAACAGCCCCAGGGGAGACCAGGGGTTTCTGCACAGCTACGTGCAGAAGGGTGTCTGTACACCTAAGCCTCCGCAGCGCCAGACTGGGCTCGACAGCTGTGCTTTTAGCTGAAGACAAGGCACAGGCGTGTTCAGAAACAACTTGCCATTTTTGTGAGGTGATTTCTCTGAATAAAAAGCCCCTTTTTAGCTTGGTGCTGAGAGCTAGCAGCCATCTGGCTGGATGTTCTGGCCACCTCCATCCCTCTGTTTGGCAACCACAAGGCTCTTCAAGGTATTTTCTCTCACGTGCTTGTGCCCACATTTGAATGTACATGCAGGCAGTTTATTTATTTTTCATTCCATACAAGCCTCTTTAAGTAAGATTTAATAAGTCTAGCCCATGTAAGCTTATACAGGCTGACAAATCTTTGGAGTTTGACACGGTCTGTAATTTTCTTAAAGAATTACTATGTTTTACTTATTTGGGTGACAGAAGCCTGTCTAACTGGTACAATTACCCGCACAACAGGGCACACGGGCCACTTAATAACCTAAATACATGGCTTAAACCCAAGAGTAGGTGTTGTCTCCAGCTACGTGGGTGGCCCAGGTTGGCTTTGGCAAAGTTAAAAAAAGCCGATTTTCGCTTTAACCAAGAGCGCGGAAACGCTTTAAACCAGAAGTTTCTGCTCCAGAGCGCCTGTGCGCCCCGCGAAGGCAGGACGCGGCACCCGCACACG